AAGACCGTTCAAATCAATTGACAAGAGACAATGCGAAGCAAATGACACTCAAGAAGAAGAAGATGACGAGAAAAAAAAAGGAAGGAGAAATCAAGCACAAGAATAAGGAAGCGCTGTTCAGGTTGATGACTGAGACTATTAATAAGTTATTTACGGGATGATGCTCATGATAAGTAATACTACACTGATACGATATATATATATTCGACTCTCAACCTGTTTAGAAACATGATAAAAATATTTATAATTAATAGAAAAAAAAAGTGTCGAATCTTCAAGAAGAGGGAATTTTTTGTGCTCATTGAGCACGAGAAGAGAAAAGGATCAACGAGGTATTCTGGAGACATCGGAGGGTGATTTTATGCTTGGTTGTTGGAGTGGAGGAGGTGTCAAGGGTTGAGTAAGGACCTCGTCTTGCATTATTTTTGCGAGCTGAACTTGGAGTTGAGGAGATTTAACAAGGCGTTAGGGTAACGCAAGAGATATAACTTGAAGGGGAAATCGAACAGGAGGTCGTCGTCGGGGATGATAGCGGGCTCATTGAGGTCTTTATTGAAGCGAAACTTTGCGGGGACTTGAGCGGGGAATTGTTTGAGGACGAGGATGCGGTTGCGGTGGAGGAGCGTCTTGAGGAACTCGAGGGGCTCGAGGTCGAGCTTGTTGTAGATGAACCTGACGACTTCTTTGGAGTTGGTCGCGGCGGAGGAGGAGTTCAAGGACTTGAGACAATTGAGATGGTTGAGCACCAGCTTGGTCCACTCTTTGACGTCAATCTCCGAGTCGACTTCTAAGTTTCTCGGCGCGACTGAAGCGGATGAGGAGGAGGAGGAGGAGGAGGTTGCTGATGTTGTGGGCGAAGGGGGGCTTGAATGGGAGGAAGTTGCGCGGAGGCCACGGAAGATGGGGATGCTGTTATTGCTGGACTCGAGCAAGACGGATTTCCCGAGCTGCTCCAGAAGGTCGAGCCTAGATTCCTGGCGATCCAAGAGATCCAGGAGAACCTCGATGGCCGCGGAGTGATCAGAGGCCGACGAGCTGGTCGGGGAGAGTGACGAATCCGCCGAGTCGGTCTCTGAGTGGCTATCATCCCTTCCAAACCCCGAGAACGAGGGCGAGCAATACTCGTCTTCCTTGCCGGTAGTCAGCATTGGAAAGTGACTGATCGTCTCTTTTAATAATTTGTTCTGCTGGACCAATTCTTTCACTAAGAGGTGGGCATTCATCTTCTTCTTTAACCGGATGCTAGGGGGATGATGATGGATCGATAATCGTTCACGTGAGGGGAGTTTTTTTTGTGGGCGAATGGCGATATAAGGCGTGGATGCACTCTGTTGGGCTGATTTCAATCAGATTGCTGTATATATAGGTTGGTGATCGTGGGAAAGATCGTCAGCCATTAGGAGCGGTGATACGGGAGTGATGATGAGATTATGTGCGAAATCTGCACACATACCTAGACCAGATGGGTACGGTAGGTAACCAGGGTGAAGCTTCAGGAGTAATATGTATGCGTCTTTGCAGCGGGCAACGATGTGCGACTTTGGTTCGGCGACTCAGATTGACGGGAGCGATGAAGAAACAGGAGCTATAAGTTGTTGGATTTGGAAGGCCACACTGAAAAGCGTCCTTGAGTACGGTTTGGTTTGATCTTCTTTAGTTTGGTTGATGAGGGGGCTGGATATTATAGTTGGGCTGCTGAGAAGAAGATTGTACACGAGGACTAGTGAAATCTAGTAGATGCGGTATTGGGGTCAAGAAAACTAGGACGATGAAGGGCTTTGAGGATCGGAAATGGAAGAATTGGACCAGATGGCGGCCGGTTTAAGAACTCCGACTGAACGGTCTGAGCAGCGGGAATGAAGCGCGAGTTGAGTTGCCTAGATGAAAGAAATGGGCATCGTCAAACGTAAGTATGAAAAGGGCAGAAAAAGGGGGGGGGGGGGGGAATCACTGCAAGCATGAAAACTGGCTTGCTCCAGCTCCGCGGTGTTTTTGCAAATGACGTATGAAATGGATGAGATAAACAATCTGCAAAATGGCGACTCACGACTGGAGTTATCTGGAGTTATGGTGTGTATCTCTCGGACATGGAATGTTCAAGGGGAATGGGAATTGCTGGAGCCTGGATGGCATTGGAACCTCAAGTGAGCTTTTCAGATTTGGAAATTGGATGATGATTTGATCAGCTCAGCTGAGGATGACGAAGGCTGTTTCTCTTTTTTCGGCAAGATGTATTGATTTGATTGTAATAGGTAGACTTAGTTCTTCTATGTATTGATGTTGTACCTGATCATGAGGTGCCTTTTGGGGCTGAGAGACTTCGAATGAGAAACGAGAGTTGGGGGAGCTTGAATCTGCTTGAATAGCTGGATTAGCCGAGACAGCTGCAGGGTTGATAGAAGAGCTGAGTTTGAATGCGCGAGACAAATGTTGTAGAAGAGGAAGTGCCGTTTGTCATCCGGAGAAGAAGGTAAGGTGAGACGCCCGGTGGAGTGCAGCTATCCCGTTGGTCTTTAAGGCTCGTCCAGCGGCTGCCAGTATAACGGTGCTTTCATGGAAAAAAAGATGTAAGGAATCAGCGACGCGACCGGATCATCAGTGATGTAAAGAGAGCTAACCGAGCAACAGCGGAGGTGATACACCTGGTGCCGAAGGGAAAGAACGGTCTGAGCTCCCAGTAAGATATATGTACCAGCGGCCGTTTTCTTGGGAACGAAGCTCCGCCAACAAGAAATGAAAGTGAGAATCGTTGAGCGTGTCCCGCGGATTGCTTGAGGTGCAGTACAAATACATACAACAGTGGACTGACGCCGACTTCAACGGTTTCGGTGGGTGAGTCCGACGTGATCACTCGACGGCCGCCGGTTGCACATTCACCAACATTTCGTGATCAGACTCAGTGATCACCATGCGAGAGCCTCCGCCACTTTGTACAGATTTGTACTATTCGATGTAGTGGCTTCGGCCGGTAGGCTTCGCATACATTCTGACAGCAAGGCAATGAATGGCCTACAGGAATTATGGGGCAGCATGTCTGCTAACGCAGTGCACTCTAATCAACTGTGGAGTTTCTGAAGAAGAAAGGGGCAACAACTCGCAATCTGGCTCTGGTGTTCTCTTATGCCTTCAGTCAATGCTAGCCTAGCTAACAAATAATTTGACACTGGAGGGCTGCGAATCGAATACATCCCATCCCTCAACTAATTTGCTTCTTTTTGGGGAGCAGCTCATGTGGCATTACTTCAGCAAAGACTTCGTCCAAACGTGGAGAAACCCAGAGAAATGAGGGCACGACCTGTGGCACGGCTGGGGCGCCTCGGTCAACGCTTTACTGATGGAAATCTGTCTCTCCATCTTCCTGTTGCCAAGTTGCCTCAAAAACTTTGAACATGGACCAATTATAAGCCCCACAGGTTTATTCCATCTGCAACTGTAGATGTTCAAGAACAATGCCACCTACTGTCAGCAAAACTCTGGCGTCTTCAGCACTGCGGATGATGTCTCACAACAAGAATCACCAAGAAAAACTACTGGTCACTAGGTTACATACTAGGACTAGTACTAGGAATATCAGCCCAAGTCCAACAAACCACCCATCAACTACACAGCTGGGTTCTATTACAGCCCCCTGCAAGACACAAGGGGCAGGGGGCATTTTGGTCACGTTATAGTATATCCAGAGAAAAAAGAAGGTAGAGCCATGGTTCCTCAACTTGACCTGACATCTACTGAGTGTTGACTTTTCTTGGTGGCACTGGAAGATTAGTTAAACTTACATCTAATACATCTTCATATAGCAAGTATTGTTCATAAAAACAAAGCCACAACAATAGAGATAGTGACAAATCAGTCTCTCAAAAATACAGGATGTCCACAAGATCTGTGTCATCCAGTGATCAAGAGGACTAAAAACAAAAAGAAAACATTGTTGCAGAGCAAATCAAATGCATCTGCTTCTTGAGGTTGACATTGGTATTCCATGCTAAATGTTAGATTTTCCGGATTTTCTCTTACATTGCTTCATGTGCCCCTGTTTTTGGTAATCTTATCTAAGAGTGCCAATCTTTTGTGTTCTTTAGTTCACAGTCATTGGGTTGAAAAATATTTGATACAGTCACTTGATACATGGCAAGTGCCATAAAGACTTACATGTGGCGCAAGGAGCAAAGATGAGACAACTTAAGCAGGGATGCCCAAGAATTTCTGCAAGTTAATAGCACAAACCAGAGCCACAAAAGGTTCACTAAATTACGTTTGCCAAAAAATGAAGATATATATACACCACTGTTACAAAGACAACACCTGAGAAAGAAGACATAGTGAATCGACTAACATCTCCCCGACTTGGAGCATGAGAATGGTAATAACCAACCACTCGGGCTTTGGTTACTGATGCAAGTGATGTGCATCCTGTGATTCTCATCGCAGTTTTCAAGCTAATTGGTTGCCGACAAGTAGGGCAGTTCGCCTTGTAATTGTTCTTCAATATCCACAGTCCAATACATTTTGAATGAAAGCCGTGCTGGCAATCCAATTTCACTCTTGCATCTTTGATTTCATCACTGTTCATGCAAATCGCACATGAATCTGGTCTTGAGTCCTGTACCGCATTGGATCTTTCAGGGGGGATGATGCTAATGGATTCGTGCTCTGGGGTTGTTGTCTTAATATCTGAAATGCTTTCTTTTGGGCTCTTGGAATCCTCTTCTCTTTTCCCTTGATGGTCAATAGTAATCTTGATTTCTTGTGGTTCCTACCAAGATAGCCGTTAACGATATACCCCAGTCAACATCTGCCGGGTATCTTGAGAACCTGAAGACAGTTTTCTTACCTGTTGATTTGAGAGATGTTCGGGAGCTTGAGAAGAATGAGTCACGCCAGAAGAATCTGAAGGGCTTGGAGATTCTTCAGGCTCGGAGCGACTTGCATAACATGAGGGTGATGACGGCGAGCAGTCGTGGAAGTCATTAGCGGCTTCCGATCTCTGCATCTCAATAATCTGAGCTGGTTCTTGGGAGGATTCCATTCCCACACACTGTCCCGTCAGCAGCTAGGTGCCAAAATTGGCCATAAATATCTTTGTGATCAGTTTGCCTCCTCCTTACAAAAAAAACGGTAAAAAGAAATTTCCTAACCATACCGAGTAGCAACCAACAGACCATCGCAAAAAGTTCCAATTTTAGCCTAATTGTAAAACATTCTGTTAGTCAACTCTTTCCAAGAGGCATAATCACAACGAGGGTTGAGGTACATCACCGATTCTGATGCCCCAAAAATTGAATGAATTTCCTTTGCGCCAAACGGAAGATAAATTGAAAGTTATTGGATGACCCAGAGAATTCGACTTTGCCAATCCACCTACCTGGACCAACGTTCAACCGGTGTTGACATAAAAATGCTTCACGACAGGGCATACATATATCCACAAAATTTTAGTATACAAAATATAAAACATAAGAACCTCTGCACGCTTTACGTGGCCAGAATGAGTGGGGTGACATGCATATGGTGATGAAGGTGAACAAGCGTTTGTTACGGTGTGTATCATTTATTAGGCTTGCGGGACAGATTGTGAAACTATGTAGTCTTGGCTCTGTGACAAGGCTAGCTATTGTACCAAAGAATCTTCTGGCCGGTTTTCGCCCACCTCAGCCACCCAAGGTTTTTTGTGCAATGAATTTGAGCGATAGGAAGCATGTGGTGTGCTTGGCACTTAATGTTGATCCAAGAAGCAGCTTTCCTCGAGCCCACCAATTTTGCGACGAGTCAACGCCAAAGCGTGACCTCAGCGCAACCTCCTAGGAGATGATGACCCCAAGTTTGAAAGCTGCGAGCTCGGCCAGCGGCAAGGCTCAAGGAGTACACCCAGCCGGCACGGGATTGGGCACCGTTG